TGTTAGTCTAGAAAAGATAGGTAATTTACCTTTAATAACAGTGGGATTTTGTTGTGCTTGTTGTTCAATAAGTGTGAAAACCCCTCCAGTCACCTTCTATCTTTTATTTTTTGCAACCTCCATGGCTTATTGGTTACTTGTCTTCAAAGCTGGACAGTCCTTGATTAGGTGTCCAATTTTACCACACTTAAAGCAAGCACCAATGGCCCAGTAGCATTCCCTACCCCCATGATTTTTACCACACCATTTGCAGCTCTCTAAAGTCTACTTAAATCCTTCTATTACCTTTCTTTTCCCACTTCCATTCTATCTTCTTTTGGATCTATGAGGTAGTCACTGGCTTTCCCTTGCTTTTCTAATCACCACCTTCTTGTTTCTACTCATTCAGATCTTGTTCAACAACTTGTGCAGTAATTAAGACTTCATCAAAGGTTTTGAGTCTCAAAGGAACAACCTTGTTCCTTATAAAAGCCTTTAAGCCTTTCTGAAATTTTTTGGCCCTCTTAGCTTCATTTTTAGTCACATGAGGTGCATACTAGGCTAAAACACTACATTTTTCTTGATACTCGTCCACAATCATTTCTCCTTGCCTTAAGTTCATAAACTCTTGTTCTTTCCTTTCTAGAACAATTTTTGGAAAGTATCTCTGGAAGAAAATTTCACCAAATTAATTTGCTCACCCTTCCTAGTCATTCCCTATTATGCAGTAGTCCACCAATCTTCTACTTCGCCTTCTAATTGATAAATGACTAACTCCACCTTCTGTTGATCAGTACACTTCAAAATTTTGAAAATCTTTTCTAATTTTTTTACCCAAATTTTAGCATTACTAGCATCTTTTGTGCCCTTATTATAGAATGGTGGGTGTAGATTTTGAAATTGTTTTTGATGCACTAAAATCACCCTACCAAGTGGACTAGTCGCTCCAAGTAATATAATAATGAGAGAGTGTTGAACCCAAGAGGATTGTGTCTAATTAAGTACCAAAATAATTAATCTAAATTTATTTGAACAATCAAATAGGAAGAAACTTAAATTAAAAATAATAAAAAGACAATAACAAATAAATCTAACCAAGATAGAAGGTACTAAGGTATTGATTTTACCATAATCAATCAATATAAATTCTAGATTAATACAATTTCAAAACCAATTTATTGAATGTTATTGCATGTGATGGTGGATTTCCCTAAATTAATTAATTAGCTTTCTCAAGTCAAGTTAATCCTTCACTAGTTTATTAAATTAATCATATTTCTATGTAATTTTAAATAAACTAATGAGAATTAAATTCTATGGAAACCTCTAGCTTAAGAAGGGGGAGCTCCTAACTCTCTTCTTTTCCTCCACTACCACATGTGAGCTAATTACCTCTCAGTCTCATAGTCTAACACACGGTTTATATTATTATTAGTCTAATCTACACAATTCTTTTTCAAGTTCATGCATAAATCACTAAATCAATTGAAAAATGATCAGACTTCCAATGCATTAAGTTCAATAATATAAACTTCTCGTGTAAATAACTTTAATTGAAAGCAAAAAATCACAAAATTTATATTGAACTTATTAGGCTACATCGTAATCTTAGTAGAATAAATTAGTTCATAATAAAAATAATAAAATCTAAAATCATAATTATAAACATTCAAATATCAAACAATAAATAAAAATCCAAGGAAGAATAAAATCCAATTTAAGAAAATCAAATTCCTTGATTTTCTATTGTTGATGAAACTTTTATTTTGATCTCCAATAATGCCCAAATGAGGACTGCCACCAGCCTCTACCTAGCTCCCTAATTATGAATTTGGATGGATATTTATAGGATTTTAGAAACCCTAATTGGAATAGAAGTGGGACCCACACCCATAATAACTAATTAAACACAATTTGGTGAAATTTGTGTAAGGGGTCCACACCTTCAACAAGGTGCTGACACTTTCTGTTCAGCGCAAAATGGCATCACCGTGACGGGTTTTTGTCCTTCTTAGTCATTTCCGTAATGGTAAAAGAACAGTCCTGGTCCCTGACTTTTGGATTCTGCACAAGTTGATCCTCAAGTTTTTGATCTTTGCAATTTACTCCTAAAACTTATGATTTCTTCCAATTAAATCCTTTCCTACACAAAGAATAAAATTTGTGTAAAATCAAATAAAATCTCATAAAACTCATTCAAATATCAATAATATCAAGGCAACAATTTCACATTAACATGTATACAAATTTAGCTTATCAAATTCCCCCAAACTTAAGTTTGCTCGTTCTCAAGTAAAATAAAAAAAACAAACAACTAAAAAGAAAATAAAACCTAACTCATTTTCGTAGGAATCACGATTGCACTTAGCAAGTGTAACAAGCCTTTAAACCCCTAGGTCACCCTAGTAAACGAGTTGTGTCTCGTGAGGGTTTTTAGTGGATCTATCCACAAAATCCTAATGCAAGAATGTAACTACATGATATGCATGCAAAAAAAATTTAGGAATTAAAGTTCAATTAGAGGCAAAGTCTCAAATATTCAAGAATTTTTATATACTCACTTAAAGTCAAATACTCATCCTATTCTTCACACCACTTATTAAAAGATTTAGCTCATGAGCACTTAGTGTGTGTGTGGAAATTCATAATAACAAGTCTTAAATTTAGACTTTCACACTTTAGCACTTATTATTATTATTTTTTTTCCCTCTTTTTTTTTTCTTCATATGTCGAGTTTCCTTAGACTTTCTAAGTTACACATGTAACGAGTTTTTTGTGAATGACTCCCAAACTAGTTGGCTTTAGGGCATTAGGTGAAGAGACACCCCTAAGAACATACTTACTCAAGTAACAACGGCCACGAAACATTCGACTTCTTTTTCTTTTTCTTTCTCTTTTTCTTTTTTCAGCCATAAAAGACATTCTTCCCTAAGCTATTACTTGTCTTTTGATACGAATACTAACATTTGTGATGAAAGCATCCAGTTACTCAACAAGTCATAAACTCAAAGTGTTTTGCATACTCATATTTCAAGTCATTGTTTGACATGAAAGTTGACATGGGTCTCATGTCTAAGCCCCAGTTACTAAGCAACTTAAAACATTGGAGTAGAAATTAATAAACTCTTTTGTATTGGCTTCTTTTTCTTTTTCTTTTCCTTTTTTTTTTCTTTTATGTGCTATTTAGGTGCTACTAAGTCTTCTCTCTAAACTTCTCACTACAAACTTGTGCTCAAGTAGAATAGAATACTCATGAACTTAAATTTCATCACAATGGTGCTATTTTTCAAATTTTGTATCTCCTCTAAGAATTAAAGATTTAGAAGCTTTTGAATCACCAACTCAAGAATATTTTATTCCTTGACACTAATTGGACCAACTCCTAAAAAAAAACCCTAATTTCTAAAAAAGAAAAAAAAATGTATGTTATGCAAATATGAATGGAAACTGACATAATAATGGATGCCTAAAAGTTATTCTCTCCCTCAAACTTAAATCGAACATTGTCCTTAATGTAAAATAAAAGGAAGAGAAAAGAGAAACTTCTGAGGTTTTACACTTAAAACTTTGAGTTCTGAAGTTGAGTTCTTTTCAATTGGAGACTCCAAGCATGTGAATTTCCATAATCTCATCCTCCAAACTTGTTCAATAACCTGGCCATAATCAAAGAACAACAATTTATAAACCAAAATACTCAACTAATCAAATAAATTTACCTCTTAGTGAGATATGAATTTCTCCATATTAATGCATCAACTTGGGCCATAAAAAGAAAGTAAATTAACATAAAACCTAAACTATTAAAATAAAAGAAAAATAAATAACAGAAACGAAAATTTTATGCTTGGGTTGCCTCCCAAGAAGCACTTAATTTAAAGTCATTAGCTAGACTTTCTATCACTCTAAGGTGGTTTTGGATCAGGTCGTAGGGCATGTTCTCTTGTTTTCTTGAATCTTGGCTTTTTTGCCCTTAAGTTGAATCCACCATAAGATTTTCTCCGCGTACTATTTTGTGGTGGTTTGGGTTTAGGCCAAAAGATGTGCCTTCCCAATTCTTCTAGGATTGCCTCCTTTGATTCCAAGTAAGATGAGGATGTGTTCAAGCAATTTATGTATTCTTTGATTGGCTCCTTTGCTTGAATAAGATAAATCTCAAGTGGATCCTCATAAGTGTTTTCTTGCAAAATCTCATCAACCATATCAACAAGAAAACATTCATTAAAATGAGATTTGGTTAAAGAAGACTCTTTATTAGACACTTCAAATGCCACTTGAGCTTTTTCCTCTTCCTCCTTAGGGACATCCTCTTGTTTAGTTTCTACAGGTATGCTTTCTATTTCTCCAAGTTGTCCTCCAATCTCCAAAGATAAGGTGTTTTCCTCTTCTTCTTGATGTTTCATTGTTGCACTAGGTAACTCACCTTGTATTTTTTCAGCAACTAAGTTGAGCAAATTATATCGTTTAAATAAGCAATCAAGACTGAAATGATCAAATCCACACCATGCACATTGATATTTAATCGTTCTACTAAAGCCTTCTTTAATTTGATCTTTTCAATGACTGCTTGAAATCTTTCAAGTTCATCATCATCAAGTTTTGCATCCCAATTGATAGTTATTGCTTCAACTTGTGCCCTCATCTCTGGTGCAAGCCATTGATAATTTAGATTAGTGTTTAGGCCAACCCAATCCATAGTTAAACCTACAAAAACAAAAACAAAAACAAGGAAACAGAAAAAAAAAACAAAAGAAAAAAAAAAAAAAAAAAACAAAACGTCCAAATTAAATCTAGAATTAACCAACTCTGATATTAATTAAATCAACAATCCTTGGCAACGGTGCCAAAAACTTGATGCACTAAAATCACCCTACCAAGTGGCTAGTTGCTCCAAGTAATATAATGATGAGAGAGTGTCAAACCCACAAGGATTGTGTCTAATTAAGTACCATAATAATTAATCTAAATTTATTTGAACAATCAAATAGGAAAAAACTTTAATTAAAAATAATAATAATAATAATAATAATAAAAAGAGTACATCTGTTTGCACACCCAATAAATTTTTTAACGTGTCATGGCGAGTACTAGGGTTAGGGCAAGAGGCGACGCGACTTGGGGCAGCGGCAGCTTCCGAAGGTGGCAAGGGTACAACCGGAGGATCGGGGAGTATGGGCATTGGCGAAAGGGACAGGTGGAATTGTTTTTCTTCTACAATTTTCCAGAGAATTGGGATGCAAAGGATATGTGGCACCGTTTTCAGGAGTGTGGAAAGGTTGCAGATGTGTTTGTTCTAGGGAAGAGGGATAGATGGGGGAAACGATTTGGCTTCGTTAGAATGGAAGGGGTGAAAGATGTGAAACAAGTGGAGGAGAGGCTTAATAGGATATGGCTTGGATCCTATAAGTTAAGGGTAAGAATAGCGGCTGATAGAGGGCCACAACGGCTGGGTACTCGGAGGAATGTGGGGGTGAAGGCTAAGAGTAGAGAGCAGAAATATGTTCAGCCAGGGAAGTCATATGTCGAGGCAGTTCTGGGTCATGTCGCGAGGGCAGGGAAGGCTCAGGACTAGAATACGATGGTAGGAGGGCAGCCGAGAGTTGAAGCAGTGGATAGAATTTCTATCAACCAGGTGGAGCCGGAAACCTGTGGGGTGAGAGGTTCAGTTGATAAGATGGGTAGTGTTATGGTGGAGAATAATAGGGAGGAGATTATAGAGTTTTCTCCATTATATGAGGAAAAGCAGTGGCTGGAGGGGAGTGTCGTTGCAGTGGTAAGATCGATGACAGTAATCTCTAGCATTCAAGAGCGAATAGATGTCGATGGGGGTTTGATTAACATCTCACCATTGGGAGGACGGAGTTTACTGTTAACGGAGCGTTCGAAGGGTTTTTTGAGTGAGTATCTGCATCAAAACAAAGTCTTATTTGATCTCTGGTGTGAGGCTATCCATCCATGGGCATTGGCGCCTCAACAGGGTGCTCGAATGGTATGGTTACGAATATCTGGAGTCTCGTTGAAAGCATGGTGCGATCGGTGCTTTGAGAAGATAGCAAGTCATGTTGGGGAGGTGGTAATGATTCATCAAGACACAAAACTGAAATCTATTTTGTGTGATGGAAGAGTATTAATTTTATGTTTTGATCAGCATAAAATTTCCAAAACTTTCAAGCTAAAAGTGGAGGATGAGATGTATGAGATCAGGCTATCGAAGGAAGAATGGCGCGTTGACCTGGACTGGTGGTTGGCTGATGAAGATTGCCGGGGAACGTTGGAACCAGAATCGGAGACAGAATCGGAATATTCTTTGTCGGTTAAGGGTGAGGAGGATCACGTATTCAAGTGTGCCGAGATTTGTGGCGTTGATGAAGATGGCATTGATGAGGAACGGTTACATAAGGAGGGGATTTTGAATTCAAATCTGGATGTCGAACAGGCCGGCAAGGAAGTTGTAAGAGAAGAAGAGAATGGGCTAAATGGGCCTGGTGTCGAAATGGGCTTGTTGGAGGCTTCGAGAGAAGGGCTGGAAGCTGAGATGGCGCTAGAGCCGTGGGTTTATGGGCTCGCAGTGCAGGAAATAGGGCAAATGAGGGACGCGCTGCAGAGTGCTTTTCGAAAAAGAGGGGAAGTGTCGGGGAAAGCTCAAAATGAATTAAAATCTGCTGTGTCTTTGGGAATTAGGGATTCCAGAGAGAAAAGAAGAAAAGCCATAAAAGATTGTTACCCACAAGATCAAGCGGCTAATTGCGAAGAGGGCATTCTACGGGGCACCAGCCGAACCAAATTGTGGACACCCCAGCAACTGCAGCAGGTGGTGACGATGCCGGCAAGACGATCTGGAAGCTCCTCGCTGTCGGACGGGTGTATAGCTCACAGAAATCAGGTTCTTCAAAGAGAAATGAATCTAGAAGAGGTAAGGAGGATTATTAATGTTGGTAAAAGGTTAGGTATTTAGCTGCAGGGTAATGAAGAAGAGGTTCAGTCGAGATTGATGGAGATGGAGGCTCGGGATGAGGGGCAGGGGAGGGAGTAGGAAGGGTGTTGGAGTTTTGATAGTGGGTTGTGCATTAGTGAATTTATATATGAAGTTGATATCATTTAATGTAAGGGGATTAGGGGGAGTGTTGAAAAGGAAGGAGGTGGGAAGGATGGTAAGAGCAGAGCATCCTGATTTTTTATTTTTGCAGGAGACAAAATTAGAGAGGGTGGAGGGTAATTTGTGTAAACTGTTGTGGTTTTCAGATGAGTTTGATTGGGTGATGAAGGAATCTAATGGGGCGTCTGGAGGGTTGCTTTGTGTTTGGAATAGTTTGGAGTTTGTAAAACAAGGGGAGTTTTCGGGTGATGGGTTTTTGGGGGTTTACAGGTGAATGGGGTCCAAAGAAGATGAAGTGTAACTTTGTCAACGTCTATGCACCAACCGACAAACGTAAGAAAGTGAAGTTGTGGGCAGAACTTCGACAAAGAATAATGGACGAGGAAGGTAGATGGCTAATTGTAGGTGATTTTAATGCTGTTAGGTGTATAGAAGAAAGGAAAGGTAGGACAGGGGAGTCTCTGGACATGAAGGAATTCGATGATTTCGTAGTGTCAACTGGTTTGGTGGATCTTAAATTGGCAAATAGACGATTTACATGGTATATGCCTGATGGATCAGCTATGAGTCGTCTGGATAGAGCCCTATTGTCAGTTGAGATGTGTAATATAGGGGAGGAATGGGTGCAACAAGGACTGAAAAGGACAGTGTCTGATCATTGTCCCATTATGGTGAAAACAATGGTGGTTGACTGGGGCCCAAAACCTTTTCGAGTCCTTGATGCATGGCAACAGCACCCGCAGTTTAAGAAGGTGGTGGAGGATAAATGGAAGGAATTGAATGTGGATGGGTATGCTGGATATAGATGCAAGCAGAAGTTGAAGAGTTTGAAAGAGTTCTTGAAAGGTTGGAACAAGGAGGTGTTTGGGAATATGGAAACAGAATTCCAACGTGTTGCACATAAAGTGGACCAGATTGATATGAAGAATGAAATGATGGATTTGGAGGACAGAGAAGTGGATCAAAGGAAAGAAGGTTTTGAGGAGATATGGGATATACTGAGGAAAAGGGAAGCCATATGGAAACAAAAATCTAGAAGTGAGTGGGTTAAGTTGGGGGATCAGAATTCAAGATATTTTCATAAAATTGCTAATGGAAGGAAGGCCCAGAATAGCATTTCAGGCTTATTGTGTGCTGGTCGGTGGGTGGAGGAACCAGATATGGTAAAGAAAGAGGTGGTTAATTTCTTTCGCAAGCTGTTTCAGGAGGAACATTGGAACCGCCCCAAGCCTACGAATCTAGTATTCAAGAGGATTTTTGATGAGCAGAGAATGTGGCTCGAAAGACCTTTCTCTGATGTGGAGATTGAAGAAGGGCTGAAGAACTGTGCTGGAGGTAAAGCGCCAGGGCCTGACGGGTATAACTTTAATTTCCTTAAACTTTTCTGGAATAGTATTAAGGAAGATTTTGTTAGTTTTTTTCGGGAATTCCATCAGCACAGTAGATTAGTGAGGGGTTTGAACTCTTCGTTTCTTGCATTGATTCCTAAGAAGTTAAGCCCTAAGGAATTAAAAGATTTTAGGCCTATTAGTTTGATTGGATGTGTGTATAAATTGCTGGCTAAAGTATTGGCTAATAGGCTTAAGGTAGTGATGCCAGAGATTATTGGAGAAGCGCAATCTGCTTTTGTAGGGGGCCGACAATTAGTGGATAGTGCTTTAGTTTTAAATGAGGTTGTGGATGAGGTTCGGATGAGGAAGAAATTAGCTTTTATTTACAAGGCAGATTTTCAAAAAGCCTACGATTGTGTTAATTGGTCGTTTTTGGATGGGATGATGGATGGGTTTGGTTTTGGAGCCAAATGGAGGGGCTGGATCATGAAGTGTCTCTCAACTGCAAGATTTTCAGTGTTGGTAAATGGAAGCTCGACAGAGGAGATTGATATGGAGAAAGGGTTAAGGCAAGGGGATCCTTTATCCCCTTTCCTATTTTTGATGGTCGTCGAAGGATTAAATGGGTTGGTCAAAACATTGGAGAATGAGGGTTTACTACATGGTATTGAAGTTGGTAAAAGGGGGTTGACGGTTTCTTTGTTACAGTTCGCTGATGATACAGTGTTTTTGGGGATGGCTGATAGTGGAAATATTACCATGGTTAAGACTATTTTGAGGTGGTTCGAGTTGATGTCGGGTTTGAGACTTAACTTCAACAAAAGTAGTCTGTACAGGTTTAATGTGTCTGAGAGATGGATTA